GGTTTATGCCGTCTTTTTGGGTGAGGGAAAAAATGCTCGACAACGCACCTGCCACAATGTTGTTTACTCCAGATACATAGTGCATATCCGATATAAACTGTGAAATGTAGTCCAGTTTTCGTTATTCTCTAGGTGAATACTTATCTGAAGTTGAGTGAGGAGAGTACGTCAGAGGTTTGTTGTCAGTGAAAATTATGAATTCACGACCCTCCACTGAATGTCGAAAACGATGTACAGCACAGTACATAGCCAGAAGTTCTCTGCCGAATGTGCTGTACTTCGTTTCTGCTAATTGTAGGCACCTCGAGAGAAAGACGAGTGGTTGCTTCTAGTTGTTGCGGAACTGCGCCGATTGCAGTGTCTGATGCATCAACTGAGATACTTAACGGTGCCGTTGGATCCTGATATATAAGAAGTGTGGCATCCTAAATAGCTTTTTTAACCTGAGTGAAAGCATTTTGAGCAGACGCGTCGAGTTCGATGGACTTGTTATTCCCTCGAAGAAGGTCTGTTAATGGCTGAATCAGAGAAGTACAGTTGGGAATAAACCGTCGGTAATAACTTATCGAGCCGTTAAAGGTGCGCAGGCTTTTCACTGTTTGTGGATCTGGGAAGTTCAGTATCGCCTCAACTTTACTAGCCAGTGGGCGAATACCCTTGCAGTCAACGGTGTGGCTGAGAAAGTCGAGTGAGTCAACGCCTATCTGACACTTTTGAATGTTGATGGTAACACCATGTAGGCGCAACCTTTCGAATGCCAAATCCAAGTGTCTAAGGCGAGTTTCCTTGTCTGGACTGGCAATGAGGCAGTCATCTAAGTATGCGTATACAAAGTTAAGGCCGTGAAATACTCCATCAATTAAACGTTGGAATGTTTGTTCTGCATTCCGGAGGCCGAATGGCATACTTAGAAATTCAAAAAGTCCGAGAGGCGTATTGATAGCCGTTTTCGGAATATCTTCTGGTGCCATCGGGATTTGGTTATACGCTTTAACCAAGTCGATTCTAGAGAATATAGTTGCGCCAGATAATGTTACCATCAAGTCGTGTATGTGAGGCAATGGATAGCAATCAGGGGTTGTTTTGGCGTTCACTCGCCGGTAATCTCAAGTGGGTCACCAATCGTTGCTATCCTTTTTCGGTACCATATACAGTGGGGATGCCCATGGGCTATTCGGTGGCCGAATGATGCCAAGGGTGAGCGTATGGTAGAGCTCATTTCTAGCGAGTCGTAGTTTGTCAGGAGCAAGTCGTCGTACTTTAGATGTCACAGGCTGTCCTGAGGTTATGATGTGATGCGTAACATTGCTGATTATGCACGATTGATAGCTAGACGGGCAATTAAGTTCCGGGTACTTATCAACAATCGGTTGGAATGTTGGATCAAAGATTGCCTTCTTCACGAGTGACAAGCCGGGATCTACGTAGGTGATGCCTTTGATAGACAGTCTAACAGTACTGTCTATCATTCGTTTTCGGCAGACGTCTGCGAGTAAATCATGATGATTAAGTAAGTCCGTGCCAATGATGGGCATTGTTACGTCAGCGAGAAGGAAAATCCACTGAGTAGGTTTGCGTAAACCTACTTTCAGATAGACGTATTTCCTACCAAGGGTTGCAATTGGTTTTCCATTTGCAACCTGTAAGTTGAAGGTAGGTTCCTCCTGTCAATCTGCCGCTGTAACGGGCAGGACGCTGACTTCGGTACCTGTGTCCACTAAGTATCGGGTCTGGCTGACCACATTACGAATGTAAAGTAGGCGACTAGTGTCACCGGCGACGGTTGCCGCTAACGAGTGCCGGTGGGATAGTTTCCCAAGGTCTTTGAGACATTGCCAAAATTACAAGGTTTTCGGCAACATTTCGCTTCCTGGCCATAGGTATTGTGATACCAACCCTATTCAGGGTTTCTTAGACCACGTCAGTTTCGCCGTTGGGGGAAGTTCTTGTTAGCATGCTCACAGACGACTGATCACCTAACTCCACGTTTCGAAATAGTTCATCAAGGCGTTGTCAATCCGTGAGAACGTTTCTCCCTAGGAGGGTTGCTTTAAGCAACTCATACGGGTTACCTTCCTCTGGGCTTGACATCTGCACAGTTACGCAACTTTTGAGTTCCCGCAGTAGGGCGTGGACAACTGCAAGGAACTGTGGATGTTGATCAGCTAACGCATGCTCGCTAAAATCAGACTCAGCTATCTGAAGCCATGATTCAGCATTATCTGATCAAAAGGGTACGAGCTGGATAGTTTGGGCAGTTGAGTGAATACGGATGACCTTAGTAGTATAACCACCCATAGCGAAATATATATAGTTTGAAAATGGTACGAGAACAAATACAAAATGGAACGAACTTGCAGGATTTGTCTATGTATTTACTAAAAGATGAAGTTTGCGGTAGGGCTCGCCAGTTTAGATGCTGACGGTATTGACGTTCACGGATAGAACGAAGTATACTAACGCAAGATCTAATATCCACAACTTCTATAGTATTCGTTCCGCGTAGACCAAAGGCAAAGCAAAACATTAGAATTGACCGTCCAAATTACGAGTTATATTTCGGGACCAAATCGGAGTGCAAGATGATTGCTTAACTAGCTAGGGATCGTGCACGAACGAACGAACGTGACACGACGGCGTACCGAATGGCGTGGATGCTTGACCGTAAGCCTTCAGCTAAACAAGTTGACTTAAACAGTGAGGGTCAGCATCCAATGTTCAGTAATGAATGCTGTGGCCAATCATTTTGGGGAATTACCTACCTCTTCAGATGTATTTACTGACGAAATTATAAAGAATATTGTGTTATAGAACTTCACCGCAGCTCATCAACTGCGCTACTCTCCCTTTAAAGTCCAGTCGTTTGCAGTGTTATTCAGCCAGACAAAAGAATTGATCTCTGAAACCGAGGTGTCTGATATTCATTTGAACTGACTAATTTCTTTGATATTCTATCCAAAAAGGACGCTGTGGTAAACCTATGAGTGGCCCTGAGAGAACTGTACATCAAATGGCAGCAACATATGTTAGGACCAACTTCTTTTCCCATATGGTTCTCCAGTTATGAAATTCACCGTCTTAAAACGTGGCAACTACTCTGTCAGTTGATAACTTCAGGAGAAAGCTAGACCGTCGCGTTTGCGAGCAAAACAGTTCTATGAGACTGAACTGGTGCGACAAATATCCTACTTGTTTTAGTCTAACTTACCGTTACATAACTACTCTATCATAGTATTTATTATCACCTGCATCGCAGCCAGTCGCCTCCTCTTCTGTCCTTCCACTTCTGTTATGTGTGCGCGCACTCAAAATGTTTTGCTTGTCTTATACCCAGTCTTTTTGCCCGGTCTTACATTTGTATAATACAATAACTCCCTAGCTTCCCTCTCAAATCGCCTACTATTGTTTTTTCTGGTGGTTGTTGATCTAACCAGAAGATTTACCAGCGAAGCGAAGTTTACAAGTCCCAGCAACGCCACTACCTTGTTACAAATCATGCATTCTTGACAAAATCAACAAATGTAACTTCTCTTAATGCGTTCAGTAAGGCTGCCATTGTAGATGAGACAGACTGTACCGAAGTCCGACAAAGACCTAAGAGCTTTCAAAAACATCAAGAAGCTTGTGGCAAGAAATCATTCGTTCATTACAAGCTAGTCAAAAAGATAGCTGATGCTGGAAATTTGAGCAAAGGAGGAGATACATTTCCAAGTAAGCCACAAATCATATCAGTGACACATCGTTATTATTGTGTACTCACACCAATAATGTGTTCAAACTGAAAGACCAATAGCCCAATAATAGCATTACTTTGTCATACGCAAACGCCAGTGCTATCCAGGGAATGAAAAGATGCTTTTATAAGCCCCATCTTCAAAGATAGGAACAGGCAGTTAGTATTTAGCTACAGGCCTGTAAGTCTGACCCGTATTATAGCAAAGGTGTTAGAAAAACTCATAAGGGATCAGCTCTTCACTCATACGGAAAAACGTGGCTTACTGGCAATAGAACAGCATGGATTCCGACCAGGACGATCCTGCTTGACAAACTTACTGTTCGCTAGGGAAGACTGGGTCGAGGCCAGGGATAAGGACCAGCTAATGGACGTTGTATTTATCGACCTTAGTAAAGCACTCGATAAAGTATCCCATTTAGGTCTTCTTAGTAAACTTAAACATTTTGGATTAGACCAACGCTTTTGTGAGTGGTTTAGTGAATGTCTGATGGATAGAAGGCATAAGGTTAGGTTTAATGATGTACTATCAGGGTGGAAAGCAGTACATAGTGGAGTACCTCAGGGAACTGTACTCGGCCCCCAGCTACTTCTATTATACGTAATTGAAGTGCCAAAAATTCTTACCTTGTCTTCCTTACTATTTACGGACAATATTAAGATATGGAAAACCGTAAATAGTAACGATGACAGGTCAGTACTACAAAATGATCTAGATAAATTAGCCGAATGGGCTAACCTGTGGAGTCTGGAAATTAATTCCAGGAAAAGCGAGGTAATGCACCCAGGTCAGAAGTCTTACACGTCGTACTCCCTCGGGGAAATAGAACTGCCAGATGTTAGGGGACAAAAGGACTTAGGAATTGTTGCAGGTCATTATTTTAAAACAACGGCAAATTGTAATAGAGTCGCAGATAATGCTTTTCGAATGCTATGGGCACTTCGAAGGGCTTTCAAACGATTAGACGAGGGTATGTTCCAAGTACTCTATGCAACATATGTCAGACCTCATCTAGAGTACTGTATACAAACGGTGAGTCCATGCTTCAAAAAGGAGGCACATACCCTGGAAAGAGTACAAAGGGTAAGAACGAAATTAGTTAGTATTTCACACCTTTTATGATAAGAGGATGAAGCATTTAAATCTCTTCCCATTGTCATACCGAAGGAGATGCGACTTAATTTTGGCTTACCGTATATTCAAGGGTGATTTAGGGATTGACCTTTCAAACCTTTTTCCCCCCTCTAGGATACATCTACGAGGTCACCACAAGGAGGTGCTCAAACCGAGGTCGAATAAAATAAGTGTGGAGTTTAGATCCTCTCACAGAGTGGTGAACGAATGGAACTCCTTACCTGATTCAGTAGTAACAGCTCCATCGGTGAACGCTTTCAAAGAGAATCCGGTTCTCTGCAGAGATATATATCACGAGGATTAACATAGGCAACAAGAGCCCTCTATCATTATAATCTGAATCTTTCCTCCAAGGACACTGTTCAAGGTCGCGACCCAGCCACATACTTTTAAAATTCGACGTGATGTCAGAAGCTACTCCGCAGGACGATGATAGAAAGTCTAAGAAAGCATTACGAAAACTTCAGAGGGAAACAGAAAAACTCAAGATTCATGAAACGGGAGATGATCAGGTAATTAAGCAATTATGAAGTTGATATGGAATAAAATATGTAGAAAATACCTGTGCTATCCACATTGACAAGTAATGGAGTACTTGAAACCACTGAGGCATATGGTCTTCTCCCACTTCATCAATCTCAGTTCACACAAGGACCAAAGTACACTGAATTGAGAGACTTATCTAAAGAATCTCTTGTCGATCAACACGTTTGGGTTCGTGGACGTCTCCACAGAAGCAGAATGAAAGGCAAACTATGTTTCTTCATTCTAAGACTCCAAGACTACAGGGTGCAAAATGTACTTTCAGTTGGTGAAAAAACTCCGAAAGAGATGTTGGCATTCGTCTCCAGGTAATTTTTGAGGCTAAAAGTTTGTTTCTGTAAATATCTAAAGTGTACTTGTACTGAGTGAAATTACTTTTAAAATCTTACAGATTAAAGGGTCTTATTAAGCTAGACTAATTATAGAGTTGTGGCAGAACAAATGGGTATTATTAAAGGGAAACATATCCTCATGAATGTACACCATAGTTCATCCACTGCTGCTATAACTATATTTTGATATGGATGTCAACCTTTTGCGAAGAATCAATTACTGAGTGACTATTGATCGAGGTTTCTGACTATTTTCTACGTTGGGATGGGCATTATAACGCTTTGTACTCGTGTGATTTTCCGATCTGTTTCGATCGTCATCATTAACAACTAGCTCTACGGGGTTGAATTGCTACTAAATTCTTATTTCATTTGCTTGACTAAACAGTAACACAGGTTTAGGATTTTGTACTTTATCATTGGGTACCAAATACTTTGTCTAGTCCACCTTCGTTACCTTCATTTATCTAAGTGAAGCACTTCTCAAAGTAAATTTGGTGTCAGGAAAGTCGTTGCACGAAATATTTCATTATCTGCTGTGTAGTTATGCAACGTTTTTTTTTCCTTATTTAGATGCGTATATGTAGTGTAGGACTAACTAAAAATGTTATTGTATTGTTTTCATGTATTATGTGAGGAAAACGCACAATGTGCATTCATTTGGGCTACTGCAATTCGAAACACCCAAAAGGAGAACAGAAGGGGTGAGATGAAGTGGAAACAAACGTCAACGACTAACGCTTTACGAATCCAGGCTTTTTATCACTACTGAATACCTCCCAGTTATTGGTGTGCACAAGTCGACATAATTCAGTCATCATGTACCTCCTGGATTTCAATAAATATACCTGAGTAGTCACAATTATATGCTTGCAAATATTGTTGAATAGTCGCCATTAGTCCTATCACTTGTTGAGAGAGATTGGCCACACATAAATAGAACACTGACTATGACTATTATGTAAAACTCATAGTCTTGAAATGTATTTCATAACATATGCACCATTTGACAAGTAACTGGACCATTTCCAGTGAGTCGTTTATGTTCGTGTAGGTTGTTTATTTTGAGTTTGTCATTCCTTTCTTTCACCACCTGCGATTGACAAAAATCTAGCCTAAGTCTATTTTTGTGTGTGGCAAAACGCTGACAATAGTCTGTAAAAAATACGTTATGTAGCTAATACTTACGTTCATTATTGACAAACGCATCATGATCAAAAGCATGTATTTTTCCTTCGTTTAAACCATGACTTCCATTGCTTACAATACCGCTTCCCCATGATCATCCAGGAGTTCGGACAGATGTAGATGGGACCCAGCGTCTCTAATTCAAATAACTGGGTAGATTCGTAAGGGAAGAATAGAAATATAGACTGACTAAAGCGCTACGCTAATTGTGGTCCTCTTCATAGTTCTCATTCCGGTTATTGGTGGTTTTATCATTTTCTGAATTGCTACAACTTATTTTAGTCTTCTATTGTGATCTGTTTATCTATTTATTTTAACATAGCATTTCTAAAGAATCAGTGATTGATGTTTATGGAAAAGTTGTAAAAAGCCCAGTTCTTATTGAAGGTTGCAATCCAGGCACTATTGAAATTCATTGCGAAAAGGTTTTTGTTGTGAGTTCTGCACTTGCAACGTTACCTCTGCAAATCGAAGATGCCATGAGACCAGAAGATGATGAAACGGTTAGTTTTACTGCTTTTGTGATGTGCAGTTTTACCCCCCTTCTACACGGATAACTATAAACAGGAAGCAGTCATGTGTAGCTTATTTTAATTTAGTTTTTATGATTTAGGATTCTCTGAAACTTTGTTAGTTATTGAAATTGAGTGATATTTTCAGGTAAGAAAAAGTACTTCGTACACAGCATCATTCCAAAACTGGAAACTTAGGGATGTTATGTAACTGATGAATTATTTTTCGATTTTTTTATGTTCTGCATCCTCAATGTTAAATCTGTTCTATGGGATTGGAAATTGATTGGACTTCTGGTTTGAAGTCTTGTAGATTCCTGGCGCATTGACTCAACAGTATTGTGTTAACACTAAGGACTCTGTATTATTGGCTCAGGAGAGTGTAAAGGTTCTTAAGCAAGGCTTTAAGAGCGAGATGGTATCCGGTGATCTTTATGTCATGAGTTCAAAAAAGTATATCAAAGCTCATCCATGCATTCGAATAGTTTTACAGTGTACAGTTTTCCTAGTCATGTGGTAAATAAAGTTATAAAGTCAAGCAGTATCATTACACAGGTTATATGTAGCATTGGCTCAGACCAATATCTCGTACAAGGGACAATCCAAATCAAATTAAAAGCTTTCAGAGAATCAGGAGCTGCAGATAGACCACAAGCCAAGTTCAACACTCAAAAACTGAAGGACCAGGATACAAAGGACATCTTCACTGCAAGTATAAAAGACAAAGCCGAGACACAAATCAACACTGGCGAAGAGGTCAGCGTCGAAAAGCACTGGAACAACTTGAAGACAGTGTGGAGTCAAACCTGCATGGAAGTTCTAGGCAGAAAGGAGAGACAGGACAAACAATGGCTCACTACGGACACTTGGAAACTAATAGAAGAGAGAGGGATGGTGAAACAAAAGATTCTCCAGTGCACCGATGAGCAACAAAACAGGATTTGAATGCAAGCTACAAGACACTGAACAAAAGAGTAAAGAAGAGTGCCAGAGAAGACAAAAGAAAGTACTATGAAACCATGGCAAGTGAGGCAGAACAAGCTGCAGGCAAAGGAGACCTCGCAACACTCTACCAAACTACTAGGTACCTATAGGGCAAACGTTTGGCACAAATCAAGCCGGTGAAGGATGACAATGGAAATTCACTCAACAAAGAAGTGGAGCAAAGGAAACACTGGGCTGAACACTTCAAAAGACTCCTAAATCGACCACCACCGACAACACGCCCAGCAATACCAACAACGGAGACAGAGCTACCAATGAACACCAACCCCCCGACGAAATCAGAAGTCCTGAAGGCAATCAAGATACTAAAAGCTGGAAAAGCAGCAGGACCAGATGGAATCCCAGCAGAAGCATTGAAGACGGACCCAGAGACAATAGCGGCCTTGATGACGCTACTACTGGAGAAGGTGTGGAAAGAAGGCAAAGTACCCGAGGATTGGAAGAAAGGATACTTATTCAAACTACCAAAGAAAGGAGACCTAGGTCAATGCAAGAACTGGCGCGGAATTATGCTCCTGTCCATCCCAAGCAAAATACTAAGCCGCATCATCCTGGAGAGAATCAAACACGCCAACCTGGATCAAAAACTTCGACCGGAACAGGCTGGATTCAGGAGAAACAAGTCATGCATTGATCAGATCGCCACATTACGGATCATTATTGAACAAAGCCTGGAATGGCAGTCACCTCTCTATCTCAACTTCATCGACTTAGAAAAGGCCTTCGACAGCGTCAATCGAGAGGTGATTTGGAAACTACTTCACTACTACAAGGTGCCACCGACAATTATACATCTCATCCAACAGCTGTACGACAATGCTGTATGCCAAGTAATCCACAACGGGAAACGTACGGAATCCTTCGAAATGAGGACAGGAGTAAGACGAGCTGGCTGCCTACTATCGCCAATGATTTTCCTGATTGCAGTAGACTGGATAATGCGACAAACAGTGGGCAATGAGGAAACAGGCATAAAATGAACACACAAAAACTTGGAGGATCTGGACTTCGCCGATGATATATGTCTGATTTCCCACAAACTGGAAGATACGCAAGCGAAAAGCAACAAGTTAGCAGAAGAAGCATCAAAGATAGGACTTCAGGTGAACATAGATAAAACAGAGGTGATGAAAATTCCTGGGCAACACCACCAACTGACAACAATCAGCATAAATAGGAGGAACCTGAAGGAAACAACCTCCTTTACCTACCTTGGAAGCATCGTTTCAACTACAGGCGGAACTGACGAGGATATCAAAGCAAGGATCGGAAAAGCAAGACAAGCTTTCACTACTCTCAAGTCTGTGTGGAGGTCAACAACACTCAGCATCAAAAATAAGATCCGGATTTTCAACTCCAATGTGAAGTCAGTCAGTGCTACTAATTATACGGATCAGAGACTTGGCCAGTGCGTCATAAAGAGCATCTCAAACAAACTACAGACCTTTATTAACAGTTGTCTTCGCTCAATACTACTCAGGATCAGATGGCTGGCCAGAAAAGATCAGCAACAGGGATCTTTGTGAGCGAACCAATCAGGAACCGATTGTGAAACAAATAGGCAGGAAGAAATGGAGGTGGATTGGCTGGCCATACTCTGAGGAAACCATCAAGTGACATCACTAGACAAGGCATTGCTCGAGTGGAACCCGAAAGGGAAGCGGCGAGTTGGTCGTCCAAGGTTGACTTGGAGGATGTCATGTGAAGAGATGAAAACGTGTGGGCAGACATTGAGCCAGGTGAAGACTGTAGCAGAGAACAGAACGAAATGGAGACGCACGGCTGAAGCCCTATGTTCCTCTAGGAATTAAAGGATACAATAATAATAATAATAATGTAGCATCATAAGGGTGTTCTGCCTTCTTTTTAACGCGATGAAATTTTCATAGCGACGTGTAACTGTATTTCATCAGTATGTCATTTATCTGTTCTGTGCACATATCAAGAGACAGCTGATAAATTTGTTCTTCCTAAATTGCAGCTTTTGTTTACCAGTGTTTAAACTGTTATATAATCCAAATCCCTCAAAATTCTGTTTTATTTTTCATTATCGACTTTACTGTTAGACATTAAGTCGAGTCAATCAAGACACTCGTTTGGATAACAGGTGCATCGATCTGCGTACTCCAGTCAATCAAGCTATTTATCGAGTTGAAGCTGGTGTGGTACGCTTCTTCATGGAGTATCTTACAAAAGCTGGTTTTGTAAATATACATACTCCCAAGATGATTTCAGCAGCTTCTGAAGGAGGTGCCAATGTATTCAAGGTGTCGTACTTTTCCGGAAGTGCCTATCTCGCTCAGTCACCTCAGTTATATAAGCAAATGGCTATAGCTGCCGACTTTGAAAAAGTATGTTTATTTTTATGGTTATCATGTCAAGTTTTAAAGGCAAAGTAGGAATTACTATGCCAGAATATAAACTGTATTCAGACTAGTGTTATCGACTTCGTCTATCAACCAATATGCTTACTTTTTCATGTGGTTATTTCAACAGGGTTCAGTCAATAAACGCATGATCTTATAACACACTTCCCAGATACACTGTATTTTTTTGTTGCTTTATGTTTCACGTG